GAAGCCATTAACAACAACATAATTTTGATCAAACTACCAAGCCATTTGACAGATAGATTACAGCCTTTAGATAAGTGTGTATTTGGACTTGTGAAGACATGTTGGGAAAAAGAACTTATTTCTCTAGGCAAAAAGAAAATGGGTTCTGGCTCTGGCCGGTTAACTAAGGTAGAATTTTCCGAGGTTCGTGGGACTGTTTGGACAAAATCTATGACATATGAAAATATTATTTCTGGATTTAAAACAACAGGAATATTTCCTGTAGACAGCACCAAATTTCACATAACCGAATTTACTGGAAATAGTGTTGATAGTACTCTTCAAAAACGAGAAAAGATGCAGCCACCTAACGTCTCATCTCTACATTCCTCTTTTCAAGCGATCATATCTTCCACATCCCAATCTAGCGCAACTGATATTTCAAATCAACCTTGGGTGTTGCAAACCAGCCTACAGCAAATTGATATGTCCGATGAACTGCCCACTTCCCAAGTCAACACACACCCGATGATTGATGCCCAAAACGCAACTCAAGATACCAATGTTTCAAAGAAACCTTCTGATTTACAAGTCGCAGCTACAAATGGATCAGAAATTGAGATCTCTTTTTTAAAAGAACTGAATTGGAAGATGTCGTACAACAAAAACCAACAAACGTTCGATTAAAACAAATGACTTATGGTGAAGTACTTACAACAGAAGATGTCTTGAAAAGACTTAAGGAGGCCGAAGAAAAGAAGCAGTTAAAAAAGAAACGTCCAAAATTACAAAATACAGAAATAAAAACGATAAAGGCGAAAAAATTAGAAAAACAAAAGTGGACTTTTCCTCAAGTGAAAGTGAAACAGAATATCTTGAAAATGCCAGTGATAGTTCCTTGGATGAAAATGATGAAGATGAAATTGACATTAAGGCATGCCAATTTTCAGAGCCTGACTAATGGCAATTTCATTTTAGTAAGCTTTAAAGGAGGTAAGCGAGGCTCCACGACATTTAAGTATGTCTGTGTAATAGAAAATGTTGAAGGCACCGACTTGGAAGTGATGGGTCTAAAATCAAATGACACCTCCCGGCAAGATTTTGCTGTGGTAGAAAAAGATAAAAGTTACATTAGCTTTGAACAAGTAATAGGACTTCTTCCTTTCCCAACAATACAAATTAAAGGAGAACGAATTTTTTACCATTTTATTAAGAGAGTGCCTGTTATTGAACAGTGAATCAAGATCATTATTTCCTTTTAAGTTTAAACATAATTTGGTTTTACTTTTCGTATATTTGTAGTTAGGGCAATATTACACGTTTATTTATGTTTTTTTCTATTTAGCAATTTGATTGTTAACATAAGTTTAAGGAAAATGAAGTTCCTAGTTTTGGTTGTGCCTCTTTTAGAATCGTTACCTCTAATTAAATTTATTACGCATTGGTAATACTCCAGTTTATATTTATAATGTTTGTGAAATAAAGTTCCTCCGGAGCAATTAAGAAATCAGTTTTATTTATAATACAATGGAACTTGGGGTAAATGTAAACATTCCTTAAAACCACTTGAGATTATTATCAGACATCCAGTACTCATTGTGTTTACATTTTCCCTAGTAGGGGAGACCGAGGTGGGTTGTGACAGAGGGGAGTTGTGACAGAGTAGATTTCTCATAACCTATGATCGCTAGCAAATTGGCAACAACGCGTATTTATTGCTTGAAAGACAAAGCATGAGCTGTAGTTTGTGTCCCTGGTCTAGAAGGAACGGTTGCGTCTGAACAGCATTCTCGTCTAGAAAAATACCAAAAGTAAGTTTTTGACCGATACTTTGATATCCTATTAAGAGATACGAGTTACGTTAATTTTGCTGTGCAATTTTTTCTACTGTTATTTGGTCTTTCAAGTCTCAAACCATGGTACTGTTTCTTTGGGTTTGCCACGTGGTTTTAGGTTATGAGCATTAATTCCGATAGGAGCACGTTATTTTGTACCTAGGAGAATTGTGACAGCGTGTCACAACTCTCCTAGGTATTTTCTTTTTTTTTTGTCGTTAGTGTGTGTGTGTGTGACTGCATACTGAATCGCCATTTTTTTAGATGCCCAATAAATATGTGAGGAAAATTGATAGAGGCGTGTCCAGTACCGAAATATATGAACTAGCCTTTGAAGAGGTGACGTTTAGGGGACAAAGCCTCAGGAGTGCTGCATCTGCTTACAATATAAACTATATGTCTTTACAGAGATATATTAAAAAGAAAAAAGCATACCAGGCCAACTTGACAGACAAGCCTCCATCGGTCGGGTATGTCAGTCAGACAGTTTTTTTGAAAGACGAAGAAAACGTACTATGCGAATATTTGTTGACTTGTGCGGCATCTAATTACGGATTAACAACACAAGAGACAAGATTAGCCTATATGTTAGCAAAAAAGCATGATAAGAAATTTCCGACATCGTGGGAGGAAAATAAAATGGCAGGTGAAGTATGGCTGAAGCTATTTATGGAGCGCCATCCAATTTTATCCTTGAGATTGCCTCAACCCACAAGTATAGCTCGCGCTACGAGCTTCAATAAAACTAACGTGGCGGCCTTTTTTAAGAATTACACAGGTGTCCTGACCAAGTATGCACTTGAGGCAAAAGATATTTGGAATGTTGACGAAACTGGAATTACGACAGTGCAGAAACCTGACAGGATCATTGCGCGACGCGGTGAAAAACAGGTCAGCGCAATGACGTCGGCTGAGAGAGGAACGCTAGTGACGCTAGCCTTGGCCGGAAATGCTGTTGGTAACTACATACCTCCTTTCTTCATATTTCCACGTAAAAGATTCCAAGATCACTTCATTCGAGATGGCCCAACTGGTTCAGTAGGAACAGCTAATGGATCTGGGTGGATGCACGAGGACGACTTTTACTTGTTCCTTAATCATTTCATCAACTACGCGAGACCATCAAAGGAGAAGAAAGTGTTGCTACTTTTAGATAACCACTCGTCGCATATGGCTTTGAAAAACATTGAGTTTTGTAGGGAACATCGTGTGATTTTGCTTACGTTTCCTCCTCACTGCACTCACAAGCTCCAACCGATGAATCGTGCTATTTTTGGTCCTCTGAAGAAGGCTGTAAATACAGCTTGTGATAATTGGGTGCACACAAATGCTGGCAAAGTTATGTCTATCTATGACATTCCATCAATTACAAAAACAGCATTTGATGTGGCGATCACGGCGAAAAATGTGAGAGCTGGTTTTGCTGCAACAGGAACGTGGCCTGTTAATACAAATATTTTTGGAGATGTCGACTTCCTACCTAGTCAAGTTACTGATCGTATTCCAACCAGTCCAGAGCCAAACCAACGTTTTAGTATGACAAAAGAATCAGAAAATCAAGAAATACCTGCAGCTCCAGATACATCTGAGAATATAGGTGAGAGAGGTGGAGAATATTCGAAAGCCCCTTCTAATAAAATTCTTCCTGATAATGAAGACGCTGCAATCAATTCGACAAAAACACCTGCCGGCAGTTCGTTCATTTGAAGCAAAAATGTCAACGAGCCTGCAAAGACTGAACATATCGCCTCCACATCTACAGCTCGTAGCCCGCTCGTCACTATATCCAATGAATTCTCACCGGAAGCTCTTAGACCTTTGCCAAAAGCTCCTCCAAGAAAAGGACACCAACGGAATAGACGTAAAATCAGATCTGCTGTGCTTACTGACACACCTATTAAGGACGAAATTGCTGCTATAGAAGCAAGCAGGCAAAATGTTAAAAGACGTATTTTTAACAAGGATAATTCTAAAAAAGCAAAGAAGATGAATAGTAGGAAGAACCAAACCGATGATGAAGAGGAAGAAGAAGAAAACGACTGTTTCTGTCTATGTTGTCTTGAACCATTTGCAAACAGCAAGTCCAGAGAAAAATGGGTCCAGTGCATCGATTGCAAGGGATGGTCACATGAAGCTTGCTCTGGAGGAGAGCTCCTCTATGTATGTCACAATTGCTTATCGGACTAGATTGTGGGCGGAACTAACTTTTTATTTTCACTCACATAATCCCAAAGAGTTGTCATATTCTGTTAAAATTATTATAAGAATAATGTTCATGTTATTAATATAATATACTCAACAATTTCAGTAGTTTGTTCCCTTGCAATTGCAAAATATGTTGCTGTCACAACTTACCTCGACCTTTGTCACAATTTACCTCGATACTAGGAGAGTTGTGACATGAAGAACTGTTCTAGTTTTCGTAAAATTCCTCTGGGAACCTAATTGCTTTCATCAATTTCGGGTCTGTTTTACACAGCTGACAGAACTAGCTATATACAGTACCAAAATTATAAGCATATGACCATTTTTTACTGAGATATGCTTGTTAAAGTGAAAATTGTCACAACCCTCCTTGGTCTCCCCTAAAACATAAAGATATAGTTTAAAAACAAAGTATTTACATTTACCCCTAAAACACCGGGCAAAAGTAAACAAAACGTTTCTTTTTGATCTTCAAAATAAACAAATAACAAATTTTCAAGAAACCTTATTTCTTTGGAACAAAACAATGAAAATATGACAGAATTATGCTTTCCTATCTAATGTTATCCCTTACTTTTTGGTACTGAGAAAATAAGTCATTTGGGTAAATGTAAACAAACCTGTCAAAAGCGTTTACAATTACCCCAGTTGACCCTAACTGCTCAAGCCAAAACAAAAATTGGTGCTTATTAAGTTTCCTTGTTTTCATTATAAATTCAAGTGAAATAAGTGCTGAAGAAATTGTCATTAATTATTTTGAACCAGGACATACATATATGTCAGCAGACCATATTCATCATCAAGTGGAGCTGTCCTTAACTCTCCATCAGTCTCGGTGTTAGAAAAAATCTAACAAAATATAATTCACTACAGAGTTCTTCGTAAAAATTCGTATTATAGCCTTGAGACTCCTGGAATGCCTCATAGGTGTCGCTAGGCAACATCTATGCATAATTCGCGTGCAAATAAAGTAAATAGTCATCTTGAATTTGATAATTTTAGTATATCCTCCTGGGACCCAGCGTCCATTTAAATGGACATGCAGTTTTATACTTCCAGTTTCGTTAATTTAATATTTACGCAGCGTAGACCTCGCATCCACTACGTTGGACACTTCCGTGCTGCCGCCTAGTCCGATTCGGCCGACTTTAGTCTCGCACCTGCGCCGTGAATCAGTAAGTTTGTTTTCTGTTGTGATGGCGGCTGCACGTGATTCTCGTTTAGATGGTATGTAACCTATTTTTTAACATTATGTGCTGATTTAGGAGGAAATATATATTCGTTAATGTTTAATAGATACATTTAAACAGCTTTATAATAATAAAAATTTTAAATAACTTTTGTACTAGCCTAAATTATTTGCGTCCATTTAAATGGACATTGGGTCTATCTCATGAATATTTTTGATTTATTCGGAAAATTTATTTTAGCAATTTTTGGCAATAAACGAGTGCTTCGGCCAGGGGAAGATGACGAAAAATTGAAGCAAATACTACAACTCATTGCAAACGATGATTCTGACGTTGAAATGTCTGATGATGAAAATGAAATTGAAAATATGGATAATTTAGTACAGAGAGAGGACGAAATAAATGATGAAGACCTGGTGAGCAGCAGTGACGAGGAAGGAGAGGACAGAATTCCTCTTAGTGTCCTTAGAGAAAAGTTAAGAACGGCCAAACAACTCCCAATTCTTCGCAGCGACAGTTTTGGAGAAGGAATGATACTTTTACACCTCCAAATTTTGAAGGTCCGTCTAGTGAATGCAGCGCACAGCTTCGCGATGGTTGGACTGCAAAATCGTATTTTGCCATGTACTTAGAAGATGACATGTTCCAAAAAGTATGTGATTGAACAAATGCAAGGTATGTTGAACTTAAAGGAGTATCCCTTAGATTGACACTTAATGAGATTAAACATTTCTTTGGGATAATTTGTTTAATGTCCTGCCTAAAATATCCTAGAATCAGAATGTACTGGGCCAAACCCACGAGGGTTGCAGCTATTGCGGATGTTATGACTCGAGGTAGGTTTTTTTCTATAAGAAGTAACCTCAAAGTTGTAATTGATGGCAGCATCTCTGAGGAGAAACGCAGGTATGACAAATTTTGGAAAGTGCGTCCTATTTTAGAAGCAATATTGCAGGGGTGCTTGCAGCTACCCAGAGAGAAAGTAGTTGCTGTGGATGAGCAGATGATATCATTCACTGGAACTTGTCAAATGAAGCAGTTTGTTAGGGGAAAACCCAATCCAGAGGGATTGAAAATTTTGTTGTTGCTGCTCCTGATGGACTTGTCGTAGACTTTGAACTATATCAAGGAAAAAATACGTTTCCAGATGATTCTGTAAAACGACTTGGTGTTGGACCTTCTGCTGTTGTTCGGCTTGGAAGAACATTATTTCCTGGAACTCATGTGTATTGCGATAGATATTTTACGACAATACCACTTCGTGAATATCTTCGCCAACAAAAGAAATATTGTACTGGAACGATTATGAAATCTCGTGTACCAGCGGCAGCACATTTAACTTCAGACAAAATGATGGCCAAGATAGGTAGAGGTAGCTCGGAACAAATTGTAAGGCAAGATGGCGAAATAGTGGTTGTACAGTGGTATGACCTGAAATCTGTACTTTTGGCATCTACTCGTCTAGGAATTCAACCTAGTGATGAGTGTACACGGTGGTCTAAGAAAGACTCTAAATACATACAAGTTGCAAGACCTTACATTGTTGCTAAATACAACGATTGTATGGGAGGAATTGACCTGATAGACCGAATGATCAGCTATTACAGAATTCAAGCCAGATCAAAAAAATGGACTGTGAGAGTCATTTTCCATTTCTTTGATTTAGCATTGGCAAACTCATGGATTTTTTATCGAAGAGATAAAAAGATATTTCAAACCTCTACACGAAAAATACAGCAGTATCTAGATTTTAAAATCGAAATTGCCACGTACCTTTTGAAAAATGAATCCAACATTTTCCAAGAAAATATACGAAGTATAGGAACTCGAAGAAATCCTGAGGGTAATATCATTGTTGATTCACCATCAGCAGGCACCGAAAGAAAGCGGAAAGAACATTACCCAGAAATTGCCTCAGATTTAAGAAATTCGGTTCGATGTAAAAATGACAGTTGAACTAAAAAAACGAAGTTTTTTTTTAAAAGATGTAACACATTCTTATGCATGACTGGCTACAGAAACTGCTTTATAGAGTTCCATAACAGTTTACGTTTATTTTCTATGTTCTTATAAGTTAAAGTTTTAAATTTAAATGTATTTTTAACCATCTAAATAACTTATACATTAGGCATTTTTGTATAGGTTAAGACCCAATGTCCATTTTAATGGACGTCATGTATCTTTCAAAATAAGAAAAAAAATAAAAAAATGTCCTCAGTAAAGAATGTTTGTTAATGTATTTTCTGTTATATTTAAAAACGTCACAACTCTAACTTATGAAAAACATGTCTGGGTCTCAGGAGGATTTATCTAACGCGCGACCGATCACGTTGTTCAAAAGTGTTAGGAAGAATCTAACGATGCGACCTATCCCGTATGTGATTTTTTCGATAATCTTGGTAAGTTGAACTATCTCGTAACTAATACAAAAGGATAATTTTAAATATTGCTAAGCGCTCAAAGCTCATTTTTTTGTGGCGTTCCTTTGTCAAACTTTTTGATTTTACTGGTAATAAAGAATGATTATGATTTTGATATGTCTGTCATGTTTTCTCGTTTTCTATGAATTCCTTGGCATAATTTTTATCATATTCTTGGTTAGATTTTATTTTGTCTTGTAAATAAATATACAGGTCAAATTTCGTCAATAATTAGACTTATTATTGGTCTTTCCAGATATGATTTCACCAAGAACAGAAGCCAAATGGCAGCAATGGTACGAAGAAATTGAATCAGATGTAGGGCCTGAGTTAGACATAGATGACGTTGCCTCTGAACACAGTTTGCATGATACTAATACGGAGCAATCCTCGGACTCTGATGACGAGGATATTTGTTTACCTTTATCTCTATCTGCTTTGAAGAAAATACCGCATTTCACTGGAAAGGATGGCACACCATGGCTAAAACACAAACCACCTAGTCTCCGAACAAAAACTTGTGTTCAAAATATAGTGATCAAGCTTCCAGGTGTAATAGGAGAAGCGAAGAGAGCGAAAGAAATTATGGGTTGCTGGAAAATATTTTTCCCATGGATATGATGATCAACACTATAGTTCAGAGTACAAATCAAAAACTGGACCAAATGCGAGTCTCCTACGGGCGTCCAAGAGACTGTTTACCTACAGATTTAGAAGAAATAATGGCGTTTATAGGTCTACTTTACCTAGCAGGTGTGAAAAGGGAACAACACCTCAATACGAGCGAACTCTGGGCAACAGATGGAACAGCATCAGACTATTTTCCGGCAACAATGTCTCAAAAGCGCTTCCATATTCTTATGCGAGCAATCAGATTTGATGATAAAGATAGTCGAGAAGAGCGATCAAAGCTGAATAACCTGGTGCCTATTCGAAATATATATGAAATGTTTGTAGCCAAATGCTCTAGTAGTTACAGTCCCGCACAGAATGTTACTATAGATGAGATGTTAGAAGCGTTTAGAGGTCGTTGTCGCTTTCATCAGTACATTAGTAATAAGCCGGCCAAGTATGGCATAAAGATTTATGCACTTACCGATGCCAGAACATTTTACGTACATAATTTGGAAATTTATGCGGACAAGCAGGCTCCAGGCCCTTATCAACTAGCTAATGATGCAGCAAGCGTTGTGAAACGGCTTATAAAACCAATAAACAAATCGGGCAGAAATATTTCTGCGGACAATTACTTCACATCTGTTTCTCTCGCTAACAAGTTATACCATAACCATAAAATGACTTATGTGGGCACCATTAGAAAAAATAAACGGGAAATCCCTGGAGACTTTCTACAAACTAAACCTCGGCCTATACATAGTACTATGTGCGCATATGGTATAGACAAAAATAAATGCACTCTAACCTCCTTTATCCCTAAGAAGCATAAGAACGTCCTCCTGCTATCTACGTTTCATGATAGTGACATCATCGATCCAGATTCGAGAGAGCAAAAGCCAGAGGTAATAACCTTCTACAACCTTACGAAGGGAGGCGATGATGTTGCGGATAAAATGAAGGCGGAATATTCTGTCACCCGTTTCAGTAATCGTTGGCCTTTCACCGTATTTTGCAGCTTCCTAAACATAGCTACTATAAATTCCCAAATTATATACAAGTGCAATACAGGAAAAACTATACCAAGACGCGCATTCATTACATCGTTGGCAAAAGAGCTTATAAGACCACACATGATGAAACGAGCTTCCCTTACAAATATTTCTTTTCTCTTGGACAAAAAATTCGATCGATTACTGGCATTCAAAAGAAAAATACACCCCCACAGAATCCAGAGCAGAAACCAATGTGCGGATATTGCCAAACACGGAAAAATAGATTTACACAACATAAGTGTGACCGCTGTCAAACACCTATCTGTAACTATTTCAACTATTTTTATTTGTAAAGAATGTAATGATGTTGGAGAAGAGAACTAGATTCTTATTTCCTCTGTTTATCATAACACATAAAAGTTAATTCTATAGTTAGATTCTTATTTTCTCTGTTTTTAATAAAAAATATATAATACCATTTAAAAAATATTGCTTTTATTCCAAAAATATAGAAAATTAACTTTTTAGAAAAAATCTAATTGCGCGCCTTATGTTAGATAACGTCTATACACGCGACCGATGACGTTGTTTGAGGCCGCGCGACCCCTGGAGTGTTAAAGAAGCAAGGAAAAACGTATGATTTTACAGATTTTGTTAACCCTTAATTTGGTATTGTATCTTATACGATACTACATATTCAAATATCCCTGTTAACGATGCGAGTCAACATATCAAATCTTTTTTGCCGAAAATGTCTTCATTAGGCATTCAGTCACTTGAGTTGGTACTTCTGGCGCCATCTGGCATTTATTTTGTGGATTTATAATGTAATGGCCGAAACTTGTCAGCGGACAGCATTGAGTGGCGTGAATTATCGGTAAGTACTCATAATTTTCTAGTAAAGTAAAATAAATATTCACAAAGAATTTGTAACTTTGAGGACATGGATGTTAGGTGCATCTTATAGAATTAGATTTAGATGATAATGATGAGCCACTTGGTCAGAGTTGCTGATCTAATTTTACTGTATCTCGTAGTCTACGTTGCCAGCTCCTCAAAAAAGGGATAGTTATTTGTTGTGTATATAATGATCTACAGTGCCAAGTTCTCTTTAAGCAATTGATAGTTTGTTGTGTGTCGCATAGTATACGTTGCCAACTTATCGTAAATTGAAGTATCCTAGGTGTGCATCATATTATACACACACTTAACCTAAACATATGTTCAAATTAATAAAATATGTCTTTATTTCTGGCTCAGATACTAGTGATTATGTTTATTTTCCAGAAGAAACTATTCTATTATGGCACTAACACGGAAGGACAAGATAATTGCCCTTCTACCACCTGCATCTTCTGATCTGAGTGACACAAGTGAAGATGAAGAATTTCCTGGAAAGCTGTTTGATATGATAAGGGACTCAAATAGTGAGCTTCCGAGGCTCCATCGATTCCTGATGAAGCAGTTGCAGTAATGGAGGATATAATGAATGATTTGTCAACACCAATGACGCTTCTCCAGATGAAGCAACCCCAGTTGGTCAGAATACACCAGAAAAAGTAAGTCTCTGTGCATTTTCGACTCCAAGAACTTTGCGATTACACCACTAAAAACCAGATCACATTCTAAAACGGGCAAAAAAAAGAAAAAATGTGAGTCATGCTGTTAGAGACAAGCTGATAAAAGACGAAGTCAGTAGGAAAAGGAGTAAGGTGAAAAAGAAAAAACTTGAATGTAGCTGGACAAATGAACAGTTTGTTTTTCCAGTAGATATTCCAGACAATTTTACCACGCCTGATAGAGTGAAAACGCCATACGAATACTTTCAGATGTTCTTCTCAGATGATTTATTACAAATGCTCGTTGACAACACTAATTTATACTCAGTTCAACAAACCGGCAAATCAATATGTGTCACACTCGAGGAAATGAAAGATTTTTGGCTATTCAAATCCTGATGGGAATAGTCGAAATGCCAGCTTATACTGATTATTGGAGTCAAAAATTTAGATATAATGATATCGCGGAAAGCATGTCGCTAAAACGTTATCAACAGATAACAAGACACATTCACTTTGTTAACAACGCAAATCAGAACGACGATCCTTACTTCAAAATTAGGCCAGCTTTAGAAATAGTGAGAAGAAATTGTATGAGTGTAGAAGAAGAGAAAAAACACAGTATTGATGAAATGATGGTACCATATAAAGGGAAGAAGGCCGGGTCAAAGCGGCAATATATAAAATCTAAGCCCAAAAAGTGGGGCTTCAAAATCTTTGTGAGAGCAGGTGTATCTGGATTGGTCTATGATTTTCTCATCTATGGAGGAGCAAAGACATTCAGAGAATATCACCAGTTTACCAGCGAAGAGAATACTTTAGGATTAGGAGCGAAAGTTATTCTTAGTCTATGCAAATCTATGAAAGCCCCTATCTGCTCGGCTGTGTATTTTGACAAGTTCTTTACGTCTTTGGAATTGATGCACATACTGAGACAAAACTACGGAATTTTATCTCTCGGCACAATAAGATCCAATCGGCTGGGGATCTGTTCATTAGAAAACGACAAAGCCTTGGCGAAAAGAGGTCGAGGGTCATTTTGTTTCAAAAATGATAACGTCAACAAAATCAGTTGCGTTAAATGGTTTGACAATAAGGCAGTCATTCTTGTGAGCTCTTATGTTTCAGTAGAGCCAGTAGCTACTGCTACACGGTATACGAAACACAAAAAAGATAAAACTGATATACCATGTCCGAGTATTGTAAAACAGTAAAACCGCCACATGGGTGGAGTTGACCTTATGGATATGTTAGTTTCACTTTACAGAACTCGGCTGAAGACTCGTCGGTGGTATTTATCTATTTTTGCTCAAATGACAGATTTATGCATGAAGAATGCTTGGCTTCTTTACCGTCGAGAAACTAAGCTGAGAATCAGGGGGCAGCGTGGAAAACATCAGTCTGAAAGAATTCAGATACTATGTCTCGAAATCATTGAGAATGAAAGGAAGATCAACTGACTCGAGAGTGAACGAGAATGTAGATATAAAACAAAAGATCAAACAAGCAGTTGTAGTTAGACCACCAATAGATGTAAGACATGACAGAGTCGATCACTTCCCGCAGTATATAAGCAAAGGTAGATGTCGATTATGCAAAAAGGGAGAAACTCATTGGGCGTGTACCAAGTGTGGCACAAGACTATGTTTAGTGAAAGATCGGAATTGCTTTTATTCATTCCATCAGAGTAGTTGACAGGTTCCAGTGAACGTCAACTTTGGATTTTTTGTTCAATTATGAAAGATGTTTTCGTTTATTTGTGCTTAGAGGTTGTCGGTTTCTTATTTCATGCAAATGTTGTCCATTATAAACAATCAATAAATTATTTTACATAATTTTCTTGTATCCTTTTATATAACTTAACAATTGGCAGTGTATCTCTTAGCATACATTACATTGTAGCAAACAACTTCACTCAAATTGGTGATGTATCTTATCGGATACATCCTATATCTGCTCAAAATTCCATAAAAATCACAATTTTTCTCTTATAATCACTTATTGGGATGCCAATAAATATATCAACATCCACTGTTATCAGAAAAATTGCAAAACATGGCTTTGCCAATTTAAGGGTTAATGCTGTATCCCAAGCAAATAAGGGAGCAGTAGAAATCAAAAACATGTCTTTTTCAGATTTCTGTTCTTTCAAATCTTTCGTTTCACAATAAAAATTAAAGAAACAAATGAATCGAATTTATCTCAAAGACATTGTTCAGATTACCGCTCGCAGAGGGCAATATTATCTTCTTTTCAAAACCTCACATTCGGAATGGGAACCGAATAATTGTTTAGATTTTCTACAGTTTAAAGCAACCAAGCCCAATGGTATGAAATTGCCGGAGCCGTTACATAAGCCGCGGTTTTCCTTCAGAAAAAAAGAAAACATTTTAAAAGTGTTAAATACAATAATGCCTGAAAACAGAAAAGATTTTTGGCGAAATATACCTGGTAGAACTGATTCTAATTAGTGTTGCCCTTTGGTATTTAGCGCATATCATTATGAATATTTGTATTTTTGTTTTTACTTTGTAAGAGAATCAAAATAAAAAGTCTGTTTTTAAATATATTGAGACTATAATTCTATCTGTCACAAATTATTGGAAAGTAATTAGCAGAAACACTTAGCAAAAACTCAGATACGCCGGTATGTCATAAAGGGGACGATACGTTCAACTTTACAATACTCTGACACTTTGGAGAAAGGTATTCTGAAGAACCAGTAATTGCTAGGACAGTTCTCTCTCTAATTGATCCCCTACTAGAAAAGGCTATAGACTCTTTTTGGATAATTTGTATACTAGTGTCGACCTGGCTGAGAAATTACTATAAAACAGAAACGATTGTGCAGGGACAATGAGATTAAATAGAAAATGCGTGCCCACTGACACAAAAAAGTAACTGAAGCGTGCCATATGCAAAACGTTGTAAGTGCCACTTTTTCACAAATGCGGATTATAAGCTTAATAGGGAGTATGTGCCATGCTTTACTTGTACAATAAAATTTATATCAATGGCGCTTTGCCTAGCGGCGATGTAAGGCATTAAATATCAAAACGTAGTAAGTGCCAACAAACAGCTGCTTATTTAACATAACCTAGCAAAGCTTTTGGAGCGGTGTTCGAGTGTACTGTTTACGAAAAAAATGAATATTCCTGAAGATATACGTGCCAAAAAAAGGAAAATTACTGGAAACGTAAGAGAAGATGTAAAACATAATAAAAACTCTGGAAGTCCATATCTAACTTTAAAGCAAAAGCGAGCAATACCTGGAAAACGTTTTTGCGAAGAGGTAAGTACACACTTTTTTTTTGAAGAGCGTATGGAGCTCAGTTTCCTGAAGGAAATTAATATAATTGAAATATTCTTTTAGGTAAAGTGCAGCTGTCAGTATTCTTGTAAGCTAATTACTGCTGTTGCAAGAAAAAGATTGTTTGAGCAGTTTTGGAAACTGGCAGATTATAATGAGCAGCAGAATTTTTTACGTTCCCTTATTCGACCTACTTTAATCAAACGTAGAAGACATGGAACTTACGATAATTCCAACCAGAGCAGACGACAACACTCATTTAAATACTTTATACCACTTCCAGGAGAATCTGAAGTTCAGGTATGTAAAAGTACCTTGTGTTTAACTTTGGCTATTACGAAAAGAAGACTGGAGATACTTAGTCAGCGAATACTCTCCTCCGGCATATCTGTTCAAGATAGACGAGGTGGTAAACGTCCTGCCAGAAACAAAACCCTATGGAAACCCAAAATTATTGATTTTATTGCGTCAATTCCTAGCAGAGAAAGCCATTACAGTCGAGAAAAGGTAACAAACCGAAGATACCTCTCTAAAGATTTAACTGTTCGTAAGCTATATAATGCTTTTCTTGAAAAACATCGGCTTGATGGAACAAAGCCCCCAGTCTCCCGACAATGGTTTAATGAAATTTTCAAGAAAGAATTCAGTTTAGCCTTTGGAGCCCCAAGAGTGGACACCTGTCCTACTTGCGACCAGTACAAAATTTCTATAGCTGCTAGTAAGACTCCCGTGGAAAAAATGAATTCGAACTAAAGCGAGAATTACATCAACATAAAGCAGAAAGTGCTCAAAAAATGATGTCCCAAAAGATAGAAGATTGCAAAAGTCCTGATTCTGATGTCTGTGTGCTGTCTTACGATTTACAAAAGCAGTTATATATTCCAGCATTGACTCATACGAAGATGTACTATAGTCGGCAGTTTACTTGTATTAATCTGGGAATACATTTTGAAGATGAAGGAAAGGTTTTATGTACCTATGGGATGAAACAGCTGGAAAACGAGGATGTAACGAAATCGGTAGTTGTTTGTATGATTACGTTACAACTCAGCTTAATACTACAAAGCGAAAATTGGTTTTATGGTCCGATAACTGCGGGGGGCAGAATAAAAACCAGGGTATTTTGGCTGTTTATATTACCTTGGTAGCCAAAGGGTATTTCGACGAGATAGTGCACAAGTTTCCACAAAGTGGCCACACATTCCTATCATGTGATAGGGACTTTGGCTGCATAGAAAAACCGAAAAAAGGTCTTAAGCCTGAAGTACCTATGGATTTGGTGCGTATAATGACAAGTGCACGTTTGAAGAATCCATTTGTAATTAAATGCACTACTGGATGGTTCAACTGGATGGAAATTGCCAAAACTACCCTTGTAACCTCCACCCTGGGCATCTCCCAAGCTGTAATGCTGAAAATATCTAAGGACCACTTAGAGCAAGTTGAAGTTAAAACGTCGTACTCGGAGATCGCACCGTGGCGCAAAGTGAGTGTGTTTAAACCAAATGTTACACCACAATATTTTGAAAATTTAAACATTGAACTGGTGGAACAAGCACCCCGTAAATGGAACAAAGAAAAAATTAAACAAATCAAAAGTATGATTCATTTTATTTCACCCGCCAATCAAGAATTTTATCAAAAATTGGTGGAGAGTCAGGAGGCCCTACAAAATGAATAAAAATTAGCTAACTTAAGGTTTATAATAAAATGTTTTGTATTAGAACACACTGTCTTGTATATTAAAGGCGTTAGAAAAAACAATACATGTTGATTTTTTGTTTAAAATACGATTTTTACCATTCATTATACATGTGCAACTTTATTTGCACATACTACGTTTTGATAATTAATGGCGAATATTAGTTTTAATACCAATGTTTTCATTAAAGTATGTGTTTTATTACTTGCCTATATCCAAAAAGATATCAGAAATAGCTACAAACATTTTGTATTTCTTAGTAAGACAAAACAAAACAAAATAATGTGCCTCCTGTAAAATTTATAGAATTGCACATACCACCTTTTGCATATGGCACGCTTCACTATCTAAGTGTGAAAATTATGGTTCAAAAATAGCGAGATAAGAAAGACGTTCTAGTGTTAAGCACAATACATGACGAAAGCCTGGGAACAATTCAAAAAGGGCCGGCGATGTTGAAAAACCCCTGTGTATTCTGGAGTACAATATTAAAATGGGCGACGTAGACCTAACTGATAATTACTTACATTTTTATGGAACTACTCTGAATTCCTACCACATTATCCAAAATTTACTAAAAATCTGGAGGAAAGCTAAAAAGGCTAAATTTCCTGAAAGAACTTGGGAAAAAACTAGTAGAAAAATATAATCAATCAAATTCAAGACAAAAAAGAAGATCCAACAAGATACAGTAAACGCCACTTCCCTTCAATAATTCCACCCAATACAAAACAGAAACCAAAAGGTAAAATATATATTTTTACTGATAATATAATTATATGAAAATATATTGATTTCAGGTGTGAGGTATGTCATGAAAAAAAATATCGGCATGTTTCGGCATATTTCACATCAAAGAGTAATGGTACGTTGCTTTTTATCTTTGAATTATAAAATAGGGTAAAACAGACAGTCGTAGGCACCTATACAGTCATCGGCATCTTCTTATATAATCGTAAATTACTAACACAACTATGCGAAAAATTAATACTCTAATATACCCATCTTATATCTGTTATATCACGTGACGAAGTTTCCTAACCTAGAAGATTTAATTGGCGGCAATATCAGTACATTTATGGTAGTGCCTCCGTGCTGTCAGAAGTTCTTGTTGGTTACGGATAAGGAACCTCTATTTGAAGTCGATGTATTTTAATACTTGTAGGGCTAAGAGCTATTGCAGTAGTACATCTCATATTTAGATTTGTCACAGCGGCCAGTGCCAACGTATCCGAAAACGATATCAGGAAGTAGTTTTCTGAGGTAGATAATTACATGAAAGAAAGACATTTTGACCACGTTGCTGGAGAATCCAAATAGGATATTCAATGCTGATGAAACCAAGGGGACAAGCCAAAGCTACATTAACAGTCATGTTCAGTTTCTCTGCAAGTGCAGTTGTGGTACGTCCAATGGTTGTAATGGGTGATTTTTTGCTAGAATCTTTTTGGTAACACTGTTTTTGACAGATGACGCGTGAATCGTGGCTTGCGTCATTGTCAAACTTGTTCAGTTTGGTCTATAATTTAACCATGAATCGACTTACGAACGAACAACGCTTGCAAATTATTGAATTTTACTATCAAAATTCATGCTCGGTTAAGAGAGTGCATCGAGCACTGCTTCCAACTTATGGGCAATTTGGTCGGCCTACTGAGGGAGCTATTCGGAAGCTTGTGACTTAAGGCCGCTGCACAATTGCCCGGTAACGGGAACGAGAACGGAAACGGAAACGAGAACGGGAAGGAGAGACTTCGGCAGATGCACAATTAACGGGAGCACATCGGAAGCAGTTGACAACTATGACAGAATTTTTGTACCTAACCTTACTTTATGCAATTTTGACAGTTCCTCGCTGCTCGTAAACAGTTGTGGTAAAAAATAGTTGATTTTTTTATTTTTAGAATATTTATCCAAAAAAAAATGGATTTTGACGAACAGTTTCTCTTTCTGTCCTTTCTTTTTTTTGGAATGTGTCTTTTTGTATCTAATGACACAAGAAAATAGAAGGTAGGCCAAATTTGAAAAAACAATGAATCACATACTAATTGGAATTTGTATATTTTATAGATGGTGGGTCAGACCAATATTCAGAGAAAGGAATGAGAAAGGGGCTTTTCGAAATATTTTTACCCATATGAAAACAAAGGATCCTGAAATGTTTTTTAAATATACAAGAATGCTACCAGATCAGTTCGACAGTATCCTGTGTCTCCTTAAGTCAAAACTACTAAAACATAGTAGGAGAGAATATTTAAGCCCTGCATTAAAGTTGGCTATGACTTTGAAGTTTCTGGCTCATGGAGGATCATTTCAAAGTTTGTCATGGGAATTCCGCGTTGGACATTCAACTGTTTCAAAAGTGATCTTCGAAACATGCACCGCAATTTGAGATACAATGCAACCTATTTACTTGAAATCCCCTACTGAACAAGAGTGGATTAATATCAGCCACCAGTTTTCAAATAGATGGAATTTTCCACATACACTTGGGGCCATTGATGGAAAACATGTTCACATTCAATGCCCATTGAATAGTGGGTCATTGTATTATAATTATAAAAACCACTTTAGCATTATCTTACTAGCATGCTGTGATGCTGATTATAAGTTTATTTGGGCAGATATTGGTGCGTATGGCTCTGAACATGATGCTAGTGTATTTCGGAGATCTCAGATGGGAAAACAGTTAGATGAAGGATCAGTTTAGTTGCCAAGGTAGATCAATTGCCAAGTAGCAATGTTGAAATGCCCTATTTTTTTGTTGGCGACGAAGCTTTCCCTTTGAAACCATATCTAATGAGGCCATATCCAGGGAGGCAACTAACCGAACAGAAATCAGTTTTCAACTACAGGTAGGTATGTGGAAACAGCACAAAATGAATATTTCTGACAAATTTTGTCGCAGATTATGACGAGCAAGACGTGTCATAGAAAATAGTTTTGGGATACTTGCAAGTAGATGGAGAGTTTATCGCTCTCCTCTGCTATGCTCCATAAAAACAACAGAGGCTGTGGTAAAAGCTACAATATGCCTACATAATTATTTGAGAACTGAGGCACCAACGACATATGTACAATATGTACAACCTACATTAATAGACTCCTTGAAGGATGATGGTGGAACAAATAGGGATGGTGAATGGAGAGAAATCATCCAAAATGACACCAACTTGACACCAATTGGCAGAGTGGGAGCAAATATATCAGCCAGTGCAACTATGGCTTTGAGAGACATGCTAGCAGAATATTTGATACCAGATGCTGGAGCAGTGTCATAGCAAATGGCATATGTTAACAGAGGAAGATTTTGAAATATGCTAGCATACTGTCTATTGTATGGAAATTAAAAACATAGTAGTATTTTTTAGTATCAATTTTTATAAATAAAAGTAGCAAGTATACATTTTTGTATATTTTATTCCTACACATTAAAGAATGACATAATATATCTCAGATATCTTCATTCTCAATATATTTAACTAGTAACTCGATGACTTCTTTTTAAATTTAATGTTTTTCTTCAGTGGCAGATGTTGCATGTCATCGAGAATGGACTTCATAAAATGTGTGTCACTGTTTTCAGTATTTTCACCAAATCTTTTCTCACATATTTTTGAAAAATTTTGTAAAGCTGTGGCCATTGACTCCTGGATGCTCTTTTTGTGTCCACATGCACTACCAGGTCTGGATGAATGTGAGCTGGTACGTCTAGACTGGGTAGGCTCAGGTGACAATACACCATCTGATCCCACAACATAATCATCTAGTAATGGTTCAGACTCAACCTCCTCAATGTATGGCACTTTTGAAGCACTTTCTGGGGCAGTCGAGGATATCAGCCTGAAATATAATAGAGTTGTCTTAACATACAAAGAGGACTGGTATATTCATAAAAATCAAAAACAAATAGTTCATTCCACCTGACCATTATAAACTTCAGGTGTAATTTTTATTGAAGTACTTATAAATGAAGGTTTAATAATTGGGTGACAAAAAGTACACACTGAACTCTCAGCGCCAGCCTACAATGGGTGGCACTATGTAGACCTCAAAATGATTCAATTACACTGTATGACTTACTTTCTCTTCCTGGTGAATGGTATTAACCACATCATTATTTCAAAGTATGGGAAGTCCGGTTGTTTTTGTGTTCCTCCACCTGAACCTGAAGGAAGCACAGTATTGTATTGTCTATAGGCTCGAACAAACCTGTCTCTCAGGTTGTCCCACCTCTTTTTCACTATGGCTGCTGCAAAAGAGTTAAATCTGTTATGAAGTTTTATCATGTATTGTTGAATTATAAATTCTGTGCACTAACATAAACCAGCGTATAATGAGTTAATACAAAATGACTAAGAGCTTCAATTTACGCTATTTAAATGGAATCTTGTAATACCATTATGAGTGGAAAGATAAAAGATTTTTCGCATTTGTTCACATTATAAACAAAAAATGTATAATCGTATCGCTAAGGACGCTAAGCACCACATGTTCATACTTACGTTCCGAATCGAGAAACTCTGCTATTGATAGCCAACTATTCTCTTTCATTTTATCATCTTTGTATTCCTTCAACGTTTTATTGTAAATGTGTGGGCACTTTTCCACTAATTGAATCAATAATTCGTCATTCATAATGAAATCGTAGCGTTAGCGTTACTACTCCAAACAAAGACCAAAATAAACAAAACTTAGTTTTTAGGTTAATACTGTAATGCGCATGTCCTGATTCTGAGCATTCTGATTGGCTCCGCGAAGGCGACGGAACGGGAAAGTTGAATCTTGGCCAACTCTTCCGTTTTCGTTCCCGTTACCGTTGCCGTTTCCGTTTGTTGTGCATGTATGTATTGCATAATATGTAATTGAACTTTTCTCTCGTTTCCGTTTCCGTTCTCGTTCCCGTTCCCGGGCAATTAATTGTGCAGCAGCCTTAAATTTCGAACCCAGTTTACATTATTGGACATTAAACCACCAACACGCAGACGTAGAGTGAGGACTGAAGAAAATATTGCGGCTGTATCCGCCAGTGTTAGTGATGACCGTGAAATGTCGATTCGCCGCCGTTCGCAGCAATTGGGCCTCTGTTACTCCACTACGTGGAAAATTTTGCGACAGGATTTGGGTGTAAAACTTTATAAGATACAGCTGGTGCAAGAATTGAAGCCACACGACCTCCGACAACGTTGCCCATTTGGTGAATGGGCGCTGGCAAAGTTGGAGGAAGATCCACATTTTTATCGAAAAATTGTGTTCAGCGACGAAGCTCATTTCTGGTTGAATGGGTACGTTAACCAGCAAAATTGCCGCATCTGGAGTGAAGACCAGCCAGAAGCAGTGCAAGAGCTACCAATGCATCCCGAAAAAATCACTATTTGGTGGGGATTATGGGCCGGAGGCATCATCGGGCCGTACTTCTTCAAAGACGACAATGGCCGGAACGTAACTGTGAATGGCGAGCGCTATCGTGCGATGATAACAAACTTTTTTTTGCCCAAAATGGAAGAGCTGGACTTGGCTGACATGTGGTTTCAACAAGACGGTACCACATGCCACACCGCACACGAAACAATGGCCCTATTGAGAGGCGAGTTCGGTGAACAGTTTATCTCACGTTTGGGGCCGGTCAATTGGCCGCCTAGATCGTGTGATTTAACGCCGTTGGACTATTTCTTGTGAGGCCATGTTAAGGCTAATGTCTACAGGGATAAACCAGCAACGATTGACGCACTGGAAGCCAATATTGAAGCATTTATTCGTGAGATACCGGCCGATATGTTGGAGAGAGTGTGCCAAAATTGGACCTTGCGCATGGGCCATCTAAAGCAGAGCCGCGGCCAACATTTACATGGAATAATCTTTAAACATTAAATTATATCGACCGTTCTATCGACTCAAATAAAGATTTAATCGTTTCTTCAAATTGTTTGTTTTTTTGAAAATCAAATCCTATACCTCTTAAAAAATCACCCGTTATATCCCTACAAAAGAATTCCAGAGGAAATCCATTCATCTCGCCCTAAGTCGTGGTCTATTGGCAAAAGTGGCAATGGCTGTATGACGTCAGAACTCTTTTATGAATATATACATCCATTTTTATTGAAAAGCAAAATACCACTTCCTGTGGTACTATTTGTAGATGGAAACACAACTCACCTCACATATCAAGTGAGTGAATTATGCACATAGCTCGGCATAATATTAATAGCCCTGTATCCCAATGCAAATCGAATCCTGCAACCTGCGGATGTGGCTGCATTCAAGACAATCAAGGATGGATGGAAGAATGTGTTTTGGACTGGCAACGCTCAAATCCTGGAGAAGCCATAACAAAAGAAAAATTCGCCTCTGTACTGAATAAGATAGTTAGTTAAATTCGGCCACAAGCCCTGAAAAATTGATTGCACCTGTGGGCTATTTCCGTGGAGTGCTAATGCAGTCAACTATGACAACTGCTTGGGCACTCACTCAAAAGAAAAAACAGTTGTGCAAATCCATAAGGAACATCCAAAGGATAGTCATACAATTGATTTCAGAACGTTTAAAGAAGTTGTTGGAATCGAGGTCATTAACTCTCCGGGATCTGGACAGCTCAGCAGATTTGGGAATAATACTGATGAAACACTTCACAATTTGTACAAAGCCTTCCAGCCAGTTTCCCGTATTGATACTTCCGACATTACTACAGAGAACAAGCAGTATTTGGTAGAAGATGTTTAGTTTTGCAGGAGTAACACAGAATGACTTTGATATTATTGCAGCTACTGGTATATTTGAAAATACGCCAGAAGATAAGGCAGAAAAAGCGCAAAGCATTCCACGTTCCCACGATAAACAATCCAAAATTACGACATTCAGGGATTAGTTTACACTGGCCAAAGACACCAGATAGGAAAGGGAAGAAGAAACCTGACCAAAAAGATCCTTATGTGATAACTTCTTGTGGTTGGAAAAAAATTGAAGAAGCAAAAATAAGAGAAAAAGAGGAGATTGAAAAAAAACGAGAGGAGAGAAAAAATAAACTTTTGGAGAAAAGAAACAAGCGACAGCAAAACAAGTTACAACTTCCAAAAGGGCAACAAAAACAACTTCAGTGATCCAGTACCCCAAAATTAATATAGTGTATAATGTATTAATTACACCTGAAAACTCAAAGGAAAGCCATGTAAAACGGCTTTTCAAAGATGAGCTTGATAATTCATGTAATTTCAAGCAGAATGTCAAATGTACCAATGGGCTCTGCTTTATATGCGTGACGAATATAGGCGAAGTGAACAAAGGTGTCAAATGTTACTTGTGTACAAGGACCTATCATGAAAAATGTATTATGAAACGTTCAACAAAGATAGACCAGTTCATATGCAAAGCATGTTGGAAATCTTTGAAGGCAAGATAGAAAGAAAATTGTTTGTGTATTAACTAGATTTATGCTTTAGATGATGTGAATAGATACTTTTTACCTATATTCTTTTGTTTTGGCAATAAAAAATGTCCTATTAATGTAGTTTGATTTATTTTAACTTGCAACAAACTAAATGACACCAAGCACTGTGCTTACTTGGGTATGCCAATGACTGACAGTACTCAAACCAATAACAGTGGCATTAGATACCAATCACTGGGCCTGTGCCATTTTGCTAAAAAACTGACAAAAAATATCCAACATACAAAAAAGGCAGATAGAGCCGTTAAGCTGCCAATCACTCCCTATTCTGGTTAGGAACCACTCCAGCTTCCCAGTATCCGACTATGGCTCTGAAAACGGTTTCGTATGGTTAAAGACTGGAACGAGAACATACGTAAGCATCTATTTGTCTCCGAACGACAAAGTTGATATATTTCGGGCAAAGTTAGATAAATTGGAAGAGACTTTGCAAAACTTGGGCAACAACGTGGTGTTAGCTGGCGATTTCAACGCAAAATCGACCGCATGGGGCGTGGATTGGACCTGTTCGAGAGGTACAGCGATCATTGATCTAGCAGCTAGATTCGACCTAACTATCCTAAACACTGGCAATACATCCACCTTCAGGAGAAGTGGTCAGAGAGGGTCAATTATTGATATATCTCTGGCATCTTCTTCAGTAGCGCGCGCGGTGACAGAATGGGCAGTTCTGGAAGATTACTCTGGAAGGTAAGGTTTAGGATCCAGCTAGATGGTGGAAGAAAAGACAAACCTACGCAAACTAGTGTTGGGGGATGGAATATTTCCCGTTTGAACAAAGATATCCTGAACAGATATCTTACCAATATCGAAGTTATTAGTACTAAAAATGCAGAAATATCTATGCAGAATGCAGAGGCCTTGCTGGAGACCACAATGCAGCAGATTATTAACTGCTGCGACGCCGCCATGCCTAGAAGATCTGCCAAATGTTACAGGAGACAAGTTTATTGGTGGAATAACGAGATCGCAGAACTTCGTAAAAGAACTCTGCAGCTACGACGCATTGTACAGAGGGCTAAGAGAAGGGACCAACGAGATGTAGTCATGGAGCAGCAATTCAAGGAAGCCAAAAGGCAACTGAGAATGGCGATTCGTGCTAGTAAGAAGGCATGCTGGAAAAGCCTCTGTAATAAAGTAGACCAGGACGTATGGGGACTAGGCTACAAGATAGTGATGCGTCGTCTTGGTCAGCAAAGACTGTTGGCCCATTTGAGCTGGAAAGAATGAAGGAAATCGTGACCACTTTGTTCCCTGAACAACCGGACAAACCCATTAAGGATTATCAAGTACACGGAAACTTTGATCTTTTCACTGAAGAAGAATTGAAAGCCGTCGCTATCGTATCGAAAGTCAGGAAGTCCCCGGGTCCCGACTGTGTCCCGATAGAGATTATTAAAGCTATAGCGCTCGAACAGCCGACTATTCTGCTGAATACGTACAACACTTGCCTCCAAGCAGGTATCTTTCCAACAAGATGGAAGGTACAGAGGCTAGTACTACTAAACAAAGGAAAGGGTCTACCCATAACACCATCATCGTTTAGACCACTATGTATGCTGGACGATGAGTGCAAAATGTTTGAAAGGCTTATTCGACAGAGACTACGTGATGCAATCGAAGACGTTGGAGGATTATCCGCCCATCAACACGGATTCCGACCGCGCCATTCAACAGTAGGAGCACTGCGAGAGGTAGTGGAACAAGCGTACACGGCCTGGCGAGGAAATCACCGCAGTCGCAGCATTTGCGTTCTAATCACCTTCGACGTGAAAAATGCCTTCAACTCAGCAAGGTGGGTCGATATCATGAATGCCTTAGAAGAGCGCTTCAAGATTCTGGCCTACCTACTACGAGTGATTAACGACTACCTTTCCAACAGAAGTCTGACTTACGAAACCCTAGAAGGTCAGCAGGTTCAGAAAGTCACTGCCGGTGTAGCCCAGGGTTCTGCACTTGGGCCGAACCTATGAAATGCGATGAACGATGGGAGCCTAAGAATCGAGCTACCGAAATGTGTCCAACTAGTGGGGTTCGCTGACGATATCGTTGCCGTGGTAACTGCCAGGGACATGGAGACTGCGCGCCTAGAAACCGAGTTTACAGCGCACTCGGTGCACTTTTGGATGAAACAGCACTGCTCAGAAATGGCTGCAGACAAGACCGTGCTCACCAGACAAAGACTGCATTCCCTACCCCTGGTGCTCAACCTTTCGGGAGCCGCCATCACCTCTCATGAAATGGTGAAGTTATTTGGGAATGTGGTTGGACCAAAAACTGACTTACAAGCAACATATCACAGAAGTGGCAAACAAAGCCACAAAAGTTGTGACCGCGCTATCTAGGATTATGAAAAACGTCGATGGTCCTAGAGCAGATAAGAGGCGGGTACTGATGAACGTCGCTAATTCAATGATGCTGTACGGAGCAGAAATCTGGGCTAACGCAATGACTATCGAAACCTACAGAAGAAGACTCGCATCAGTTCAGAGAACAGCAGCTCTGCGAATATCGTCAGCGTATCGCACTGTCGCTGAGGGCGCCATTTTGGTAGTGGCAGGCGCCATACCGATTGATGTTTTGACCCTGGAGCGTCAAAGGTTGTACGACACCCGTGACCTACCAAAACCTGCAGTCAGGCAACGGACCCTTCGTGAGTAGCAGGCAAGATGGGAGAACGACCCTAAGGGTTCCTGGACGCACACGCTTATTCAGCAGGTTGAACCTTGGTACTGTAGGAAGCATGGGGATGTAAACTTCTACATCACTCAGTTTCTTACAGGATACGGAAACTACAACCGATACCTAAACCTGCGTACCATTAAGAATAGTCCCTAATGTCGCTATTGCCATAAGGACATCGATTCAGCCGAACACACCTTCTTCGTCTGTAGGATATGGGCTGTACTGAGGAACCAGTTTGAACAGCAAATAGGATCAACCTTCACACCTGAGTCGGCGGTGCCCACGATGCTTGCCAGCGAGAATCACTGGCATATGATCTCGTCCTTCGTGAACTGAAGAAGGCAGACGATAGAATACAAACATCCAAGAAATCCTAATCCGGCAGATCCGGGATGGGAGATGTAGGGTGCGATCGGACGACTGAAGAACAAGACGATGAAGACAAGACAGCCTGCGTGCGTGAAGTTATGCCATCTTGGCGGTTCCAGCACAAAGGCGGTTCGTAGACCCGCTCGCTCCAGGTTGCGGACTGGCGACGGTCCTGTAAAAAAAACTCCCTATTCTACCTTAATCAAAAAATGTGCGGGGTAGATTTGACAGACAACATGATCCATTTTTATGCAATGTCACGTACACACCTCAAAAAGTATAGGAAAATTTTGCTCCGTTTCTTAGATATAACTGTATTGAACAGTTATATTCTTTAAAAAAGCTTGATTGTAGAAAGTCACGTCTGAACTTTGCAATAGATCTAGCTGAAAGGCTGATATAAAAACTGTGGAATTGATATTGTAATGCAGGTAGATCAAAAACAAAAAGTTAGCTCGTTATAGTACAGAAGATTTACCCCTACCACTAAAGAAGAGGATCGAGTTTCCCTGGATCAGCACTTTGCCTTATCCAATCTTATTTTATTGTATTCACAGTTGTTAGCGCTCATACTATATACATCAATAGAATTTGTATTTTGATATTCGAAAATAAATCTTTTTAAAAAGAAAGTAGACTGACTCGGTCAAATAATTGGCGCAGCCACACTAGGATTTTCGGGCTGTTTCGCGAATCAATCGAAACCGCGAAAGCAGTTTTTGTATCGACGAATTTACCGGAAAAACGGCCTACGGACTAAAGACTTTGTTGAGTGGGAGTTCGCAGCTACCACCTACGAAGTCAGGGATTTAGACCACACACCACCCAAATTTTTTGGAGAAGGACCAGATCGTCCAACCAAGATCTTCCCCTTATAGTTAAGCAACCAAGTAAAGTCCAAGAAAGAAACGTGATGCACTTGATCATCCTCGTATTAGCGTAAGTGCAACTATACATTTTAAATGTCTTTGTAAGATATTGCAGAGGCTATAGATAATTTGACACTTTCAACAGACTCACCTATTTTAAGACCACCTAGATTAAATATTGAAAATATTCCAAGCATGTCTCAATTCAGACCAGAATTTTTAAGTTGCGTCCCAGAGTTTGACGGAAATCCTAATGACTTAAATAGGTTTCTATCAGTGAGTGAAACGTTAATTGCAAATTTTTATGATATACGGAGCCACATAATTTCCAAAATATCTATTTGCTAATTTCA